AATGGCGTGGACTCCATGAAAAGTCTATGAATGGATACATATTTTCTTAATTATCCTAGATGAAGAAAAGGCAAGTACCTCAGGCATAAAAGCAGCAATAAAAAACGTTTATCATACTGCCCAAAGTACTAAATTGGACATGTGTCAACTGCATAAATTTTTCGTTTAGGAAACGCACTGCAAAAAGAAACATGAATCTTCGAAGGTGCCTCTGTCATCTAATTAACCGCTTAGAATTTTTCCCAGTGTACTTCTTATACTTGCGACCTAGATAGCCACGGGCTCCCACGAAAGTGCCTAAGATTCCTTCGTGAACATCCTTTGTTATCATACATCTCAGGCCCGCACCCAAAAAAGTCATTTAGGGAAGGATCTAGCTCAGCTTCAAACTTCAAACACAGGATTTCGTGACGTTGGATATCATTTTTAAAGTTGTGAAATTTGAATTCAAATCGTTCATACTGCGTATTTTCTTACGTTATAGTAGCTTTTGTATCAATATATTGTGTTATTACTGTGAAACTCAGAAAACCGTGGATACCAGAAATATTTAAGGATTGTTATTGTGTAGCAAGGAAAAAGCCAATTAAGCGTGAGAAAATTAAACCGCAAACACCAGCGGTAATGGGCCACGTTCGCTATATCGATGTTATTGATATATCGAACGTGACCTATTGGTTGTGGTTTTGAGGTTTTCTCGCGTTTCCTGAACTTTATTGTGATTGGTTCAGTACCAAATTAATCTTTTGGAATCAAATCCAAATTTTCACGGTTTTCCGAGTCTCACGGTAACAAAAAAGCGATTGCATAAATTTTAAATCCACTGTCCAAATTCCTGAGTCCTCACAATTCCAAATTTTATGGCGAGGCGACCATTTCCGGTCCGGGATCATTTCCGGTCCCGGAATCATCTGCGGTACTATTTGGGGATCATTTGCGGGGCTGTACAGCAGACCTTTTCTGAGGGTGCCGCAGTTATCGGGTTTGAGCCTCACTTCCACTCCGATCAAAATTCGCTACTTTATGGACTTGATGGGTCTGGAGGATATAGTGTTTTATTTTTACAGTGTGTCTCAAAATTTAAAAAAAAAAAAAACTGAGCATGACGGAATAGGAGTTAATGTCTGGAGCTGGCGTTTTGAGGACACCAACTAGCTAAGTTGCGCGTAGTACCTTTCCAAGCTATTCCCAGCATCCCTTGTATCTTTTGCGCCAGAAATAAAGGTCAGCGGTGCATAGAGTGAAATCAAGNATACGGAAAATACGCCACTCGGGTCCCGGATGAAGTGGCGTATGGAATCTACGAGTGGTTTAGTTCCCAGTAAAACACTCTTCTCCATATAATAAAGTGTTTTATTTTTACAGTGTGTCTCAAAATTAAAAAAAAAACAAAAGAAACTGAGTATGACGGAATGGGAGTTAATGTCTGGAGCTGGCGTTTTGAGGACACCAACCAGCTAAGTTGCGCGTGGTACGTTTCCAAGCTATTCCCGGCATCCCTTGTATCTTTTGCGCCAGAAATAAAGGTCAGCGGTGCATAGAGTGAAATCAAGATGGCGGCTGAAGCGAAGGTAATACATGTGTAGTTGTTTTTCCAAAACCTTGTTTCTTCTGTATAGGAAAATTTCATCATTTAGTGAAATCTTTCAAACAGGAAATAACAGTTCTAAAGAAAGGTAGGGATGAAGAATCAGTGGACAAAACTGTGCTACAGAAATATCATCGAGGTAGACAAAATAGGTTTAAGGTAAGCTCATGCTTCCTAAAATTCCACGGGAATTGTTGTTGTTTAGCTTACGTGCCGTTGCCCCACATGTTTTAATCGATTTCTCGTCCATCAGAATTTAAGAGACAAGAAACTGCGAGGGAAACTCAGGTCGTACGAGTCACAGTATCAACAAGCTGCGGTACAGGCCGCTAAATCTGAGCTACTTCTGACCGAGGAACCAGGGTAAAGAATTATCAGAGTATAAGATATTTTCTAACTTCTATACCGCTGAAATAAACTTTATAGAGTCAGGGAAGAATGCAAATGAACTTGTTTTCATTTACTTTGCGTGGAATTGAAAGGAGCCACGACTCGGAAATCAGTGAACTAAAGCTCACTGCCAAATGGTTTCCTTTAATATTTAAGCTCATTTGTTAGAAAGACAAAGTACAGCTGAAGTGAAATCTGTTCTAGCAATCAATTAAGCCTTAATTATAAGTGGTTAAATTCTAATTCCCCATAACAGTTTCCATATATTTTGAAGCAGACTGGTGACAAAACTACCATAATATTCTAGTAATAAGACCTAAGCTCTCTATTTTTAGCACAGAAGGCATTTTAGTCCAGGGTCATTTTCTGAGGGGTTCATTATTGAGAGGAATTTTGTATTTTAAAAATGGTTAACCTGTGTTGTTTTTAATGGATTTTGCACCTGAAATCTTACAGGTTCACATAACTTCTGAGTTAGAATACCTTGTAGTAAAACTCTATAGATAATGATGGAAGCAACACTTACTCCATATTGTTCCTCAAAAGATCATCTCTGAGCATGTCATACCAAATAAGATGTAAAACAATGGTTGTTATGATCTTAAGGAATTATTTCACTCCTTTATCCCTTTATCTAAAATATGTTTCTAGATTATTCAGGGGGCTTTGTAACACAGGTTTATTTTTGCATCTGATATTTGTGGGTTGAGGAGAGTTAATGAAGGAGGAAATTAAGAGTTATTTTAATTTTGGGACTTATAACTTTGCTTTATACTGCACTTGATATGTGACTATATGCCCTTCATGAGTTAAACATAATTATTATTTGGCAATGTTTGTGTTTTATTTGGCAGGTATTTAGAAGCTGAAGGTCTAGAGAAAACCTTTAAATTCAAGCAAAAGAATATTGCAGAAGTTGTTGATGTCACAAGTGCTAGAAAGGTTATTTTGTTGTGTATGTTATAACCTAGAATAGGGAGATGATAAGGGGTTGGGAGGGGTGGGAAGATTCTGAAGGAAAAATGCAACTGTACAGGAAGGGGTACAGGATTTGTTTGGGTACATATTGTTAAGTAGGAGAAATATAATATTATTATATTTGTCATGTTCTACTATCTACATGACTCACTGTTATGGAAGTTAAATTACAGGTCAATAATATAATTTATTGGCAAGATTTAAGCTTTGCTTAAACCTGATTGGCTCTTGGTTACTGAACATTTTCTGTTATAATGTGCTCAAAAAGTAACATTGGAAACTTAACACAAATGATACACTAATAAACTGTTAACTGTTATTAAGTACTATCATATTGTATGACTAAAAAGTTGTTCTAATTTTCTTACTTTCAGTATTTTGAGCTAAAGCTTGACAAGTTTGGACCCTATCGTATAAATTACACACGTAATGGAAGGTAAGCCAACCTTATATAATTAAAACGGTTACTGAGTAATTTCTTAAACTTGAGTAGTAGCAGCGCAACTAGTCATTTCTGCTTCAGAAATTGTGATCTAAGTTTTGGGGGGTGTGGGACACTTTATTCCAAGAGAAGACTTTGCTATCATTCTCTCCATCCTTATTTGATTTGGTTTTACATTACTATGCTTAGTGATTGGTTAAAAAAATTGCACCACTTACGCATCCAGTGAGATACAAAACCAGAAGCAAGCATGACTTGTCTGCACACATTTTCCAGCACTTCTTGATGGCTACATCTCTGTGCTGCAGGTTTTGATTAGTTCTCTAGATTCTCTGTCTCCTTTGTGGTTGGCCAGAGAAAATTACTTTCCTTGGTTCTGGTCTTCTCACACCCAAATGAACACCACTCCAGCTCAGAAGATCAATACTACTAGCTAAACTTGTAACTGGATGAATGTAATATTTGATTCTTTATATGATGAAGCACATTTCTTTGGACAGATTTCTTCTTATTGGTGGGAAGAAGGGCCATCTGGCCACAATGGACTGGCAAAATAAGAAACTGGGCTGTGAAGTTCATGTACTGGAGACAGTCAGAGATGTTAGGTACAGGTTACATGTTTCTCGTAAGATATTTGTGTAGTTTAGGTGTGTCATTGACACTAGTCTCAATAGTGATGTCCAAGCCTCATGGTTGTGGAAAACATGATAAATTAGTTATTATCAAAAGGAATTCCTTCTCAATAAGTGATTATACATGTACACCTCAGTGTTTCCTTCTTCAGTAAAACCTTGGCCAGTTCAAACATGTTATTAATAGCAACAGTTTCTGGATTTGTGTGAAAAAGGGCTGAATTAAAAAAAATGCTCTGTCAAACCTCTAGTTTTGGACAGTTTCCATTAGCACATCACTTGAAATATAGAGATTGATCCCAGCCACTCACCAGTTACTACAACTACATCTTCCTATAAGCCTAGGGTACAATACTCACAAGCAGCCCCTACATGTTGTCAAAATGTAAAATGATGAAATAAATCCCTAAGTTAATGAAGATCATCCATAAGAAGAAAAAGACTAGTCGGGAATCTCTTAACTTCCAGTTTTTAAAATTGTTTTGTCTCAATAATTATTTAATTTCAAAAATTATCGCTATTAATTTTCTTTTATCGATGGCGCCAGTGCAATTTTGTAAGTCAATAAAATTTGTCATAATTTATTAATTTCTTTTCACAGATGGTTACATATTGAGACCATGTTTGCAGTTGCCCAAAAGAAATGTGTCTTCATTTATGACAACAATGGCATTGAACTTCACTGCCTTAAAAACCACAGACAAGTGAACAGATTAGAGTTTTTACCTTACCATTTCCTTCTCGCTTCAGTGGTAAGTGCCTGTTTTAAGCTAGTCTCTCATCTGATTTAGAGCCTTGTCTGCCCTTGGTACATGTCTCTATTTAATACACTGCGTGTTGACATTAAATTACGCTAGCACTACATTGAGGTTTGCAATCTTTTCTTCACTATTCATCGTCATAATCATCGTGGTCATCATCATTGTCATCATTACCATCATCATCTCATCATCATTTCCTTCTCCGTTCTCGGAGAATGGGCCAGGGCATTGATTCTTTCATCTTTCAGTTACCCTATCTCTGGTAGCAACCTCTGCTTCTCTCCATTGAGTATGGTGCGATTGTTTAATTATGTGAATATAACTGTGAAAATTTTGGACTGAAAAGTAATGTAACCATGTGTTAGGAGAGAGGTTTTCCAACTCTTATCCTTTAACCCTTTAATAAACTATGTAAGATATTCTCTTCACAGGGGGATTATGGCATTCTCAAGTATCAAGATACATCAACAGGCAAACCAGTGGCTGAATTGTTTACAAAGCTTGGGAGGTGTGACTGTATGACTCAAAATCCTTATAATGCTGTTATTCACCTGGGACACTATAATGGTAAAGACATTTTATAATTTAATAGAGTTGAAAGAAATTTTTCTCAGTCAGCAATTGTTATATAAAGTGTGCTTAATCAATTAAAAGCCAGACTGTACTGTTTAGTGGCAGTGACAGGACTGGAGTGTTTATATATATATATATTTATTTATTTATTTATTTATTTTTATAAATAGTTATTAGATATTGTTGTGATCTTTTAGGTACAGTAACACTTTGGGCTCCTAACATGAAAGACCCACTTGTGAAGATGTTGTGCCACAGAGGACCTGTGCAGGCAATTGCAATTGACAACAAAGGACAGTAAGTGTGATTTTATCATAGATTCAATGGGGAAATACTTTCTTATTTAGCGTGACTCTCACTGAAAAAAAATTTAGTTGTAAAAGAGTCTTGTTGGCTAGGCTATGAATGTATTTGATATCAGCCAATTGATTTTTTTAATTGTTTACTTTTATGTTACTTGTCTATGATCAATGCAGCTTTGGAAAGATTGTATGTGAAATATGTAACTACACATGATATCAAGAACTAATTAGAGTAATTAAAATTACATGCAGCAAGGAAACTGCAAAAATACAGTATTGTACATCACTGATGATGTGGTGTACAGCATAATTTGTGGAAAACCAAATTTAATGGTGCTTAAAATCTTTTAAATTTAGTAACTGTGTTGTGGTTTAGCATTATCTATTTGTACAATTCACATGTAGCATTTTACTTTGTTTCATATACATTACTACCATACACCACAAAAAAAGGAAAACAAATTGCATCAAGGGTAAAATTACAACACAGTAAAATTTTACGCTATGTTTGCATTCATTTTGACTGATATCTGTTAAACTTGAAAGTGTTTTTAACATATGATTGTAAATTTTTTATTGACTTTCCTTTTTAATGAATATTATAGTTACATGGCAACATCAGGCCTAGATGGACAAATGAAGATTTGGGATGTAAGAACCTACAAGCAACTTCAAGCGTATTATACTCCAACACCAGCAAGCTGTCTTGCCATCAGTCAGCGAGGACTGCTTGCTGTGGGCCATGGACCACATGTCCAGGTGCGATACTGAACTGTGTGCATCATTTGTAATCATGGTGGTGATACAAGACCCAGATAACTTCAAACAGGAGAACAGTTCAATCAGCATTTATATGCAATCAGTAGCTAGTAGCCAAGGATAAGTGTTGAGACTGGTATTAGTAATATTGCCATAATTTCTGAATTTATGCTTGCCTTCAAATGTAATCAATCCTGAGGCTAATATTTTCTTGGAAATTCGATGACACTAGTTTATCAGTTTATAGAGTTAAGTTTTTATTCTTTTAGCAAACTGTCTCAAATGAATATCTTGAAAATTTATAATTAAGAATAAAATCTCTTCAGACTAGACCAAAAAGATAATAATAATTTACTACTTTTGAGGGGGGCATAGTGGTCTAGTAGTACATGTTTTCCTGAACAAGAAGACTGAAATGTTTTATCATTTATATTTACTTTTAACACTTGAATGTTAATAATCTGAATGTCGTTGATGCAAACAGATATGGCGAGATGCTTTCACTCAGAAGCAAAAGTCACCCTACATGTCACATCTGTTTCCATCATGTACAGTACATGGAATGCAGTTCTGTCCATTTGAGGATGTGCTGGGTGTGGGTCACTCACAAGGATTTGGCAGTCTACTTATACCTGGTAATACTACCTACTAATTTGTCATAAATTGTGCTACATATGATTGGTGTGCCCCCTTCCAACCTCCATGTTTACCATATGTTATGGTACACTCTCTGGTTTGTTAATGCTCAGCCCTATTCAACACCAAGCAACATGCATGTATTTTAACTTAGACCAGTGGACATGAAAGCCAATGAGTTATAACATTACGAACATATTATCTCTACAGGTGCCGGTGAACCTAACTTTGATGCACTGGAAGCTAATCCTTACCAGACCAAAAAGCAAAGACAAGAGTTTGAAGTAAAAGCCTTATTAGAAAAGGTACAAAATGCATTAAATCACACAGATTTAAACATATGGAATGAATGTTTCTAGCTCATCAGATCTGCATTAGAACAGATGAACTCTAGAGCTGAATATCAAAATAACGCCAGGCCTGTTGTACCAAGGTACATAGTTTACATCAGTATTGTTTCACTTTGTTAAAATCACTATTGCAGATTCAACCAGAGCTAATAACACTAAACCCAATGGATATTGTACATGTGAATCACCCATCAAAAAAAGGTGCTAGAAAAGCGGGCCAGAATGACGATGATGATGATGAGGTAAGGCCAATCATTCAGCCAGTGAGGCAAGTATTTTCTTGAGCATGGTTATGTGCAATAGTATCAAATACCTAGATACTTCATGGAGTGCACAATACTAGTAATTGCAATAATGTAATACTCTCTGTCCCTAAGTACAGACTAATAATTTTCTGGTGGCTGCTTCGTCACTCACTCTCACTACTTCCGAGAATCGAGCAACATAAGTTCCACTTGTGATGTCATATAATCAAAGGGGATAATTTATTTTTGTTCATCAGGAATGGGGCTGTAAAAGTTTAACTTTGAGTATTATTTCTGGGGGAGAATGGATATGCTGAGTGATTACTTACAGTGGGTATTATTGTAGCATTGTAGTGTTGTTGCAAATTATAGAAAAAAATTCTTACAGGAGAAATAAGATGTGTATAGCTGAATGTAGCCAATGTTTGCTTATATGAATCAATAGTTTTCCACTAGTAGCAAGGGAAACTTGGTTTAAGTAAATGATAATGATGCGACCTGTTTCTTCTTCCATCCCCTAGCAAACAAATTCTAAAGAGAAATTTGAACCAAAATACAAAATGAAAGGGCGTAGCTCTTCAAAGAAACAACACCTTAAAAAGAAGGGTCATGAACAACAAGAGAAAAAGGTGAGTGTACAACTCTCACTACTAGGTTTTTGGTGGAATTTAGACCATTTCAGTTTCTTTAACCTCTGTTTTAAAACTCATTTTGTTGCAAACCTTCCAGCTGATGAGCTTTGCTTCTTAACTTTCACACATCAGTTGAGAACCTGAGAAATGGTCACTTCTGCAGTTTAACATCCACTTTGCCTGAGCATTAATATTCCCTGAGTTGCAATAGTTTAACAGTCCTTGACAGAAAATCTTTCTCAAAAATTGCTTGTTTTAAAAATTCAATCCCCCCAATAGTTTCACATCTGCCTTACCCTGTTTCCAGGTTTTGTCAATATCGTAAATTCAAGAACTTCAAAATATGGAGTAATACTGAGTAACACATTCCATTAGCAGTGAGATGAAGATGTTGCTTACTCTCTTTTAATTTGGAAGAATGGCAACCACTATGATCTAGGGGTTCATCAAGATTTAATAGAAAAGAAAGAGTTTACAAGGAAAATGACTAGGTTGATATTAGTATAGGTAATCATGTGAATGCGAGTGCAATTTACACTATGAGGATTTACACTGAGTGATATTTGAAAATTCTCCCATTGCAAGTGTAATTTGAAAGATTTTTCAAAATATCATGAGTAGTGTAAATCCTCAATTGCTTGAGCTTTTACATGATTACTCATTTACTATGTGACCGAGAAAGTTATGCAAGCGCACGTCAATTAATTCACACTGCAGTGCAAATTAGAAATTAATGATAAATTGGTCTTTTCTCAGCCAATCACAATGAAGTAATTTTCTCAGTCATATGATAAGTGTCAGGTGTAATAGTATTGATGAGTAGTTGTAATTCATTTATGAAATATAACAATAATATTTCACCGAAGTGGAGGTGAACGGTGGCGGACTGTTACAGAGCCACAAATGTCCTCCACTTTCACTGACACTGAGCTGAAAAACTGTTTTATTATATACCACAAAAGCTGAATAACTCGGGGACAATAACTTCCTCTTTGGTCACCGGAGCGAAACAAGAAGTCATTTTGTTTCCCTATGGCTGCTCACAGGTGAATAGTGCTTTTCTAATCAGCTCTGATTAAACCAATCAGAATGCATGAAATGCACTATTCATTCCTGTGGTATATACTGAAGTAATTTTTTACTTATAAAACGTTTTCATACTTTTTGCAGGAAAAAATTAGACAAACAATGCAACGCAAGAGAAAAGAGACAAGAACAAACAACATGAACGAAAGAAGACCTCTTGAAAAATCATCTGCATTGGATAGATTTCAGTCTAAGGCAAAGTAACTTAAATCAACAGAAAGTCATCTAGGAGAGCTCTTTTAATTTTTATAATTAAATTTATTCCTGTCAACCTCCTAATAAATATTACTTTCAAATAAGTTATGTCTCCATTTTTCCTTTACCTTACCCAACTATGAAATTAGCCAATCAGAAACTGTGACCACTATCCTACAATCCTGCAGTATCAGGTTAATGACCTGATATGGCCAAATTTGGGTATGATTAATACCTTATCATACCATTTAGGTACCCTTCAGCAGCATATCAGGTTCGTCTGGTCTTGCCAGTGGCCATGGCTATTTTGGCTTGACTACTTCTCTCCAAGATATATACCATGGCTTGACCAAACTCACATCTGAAATGCCACCAAAATATACCTAAAAGGTCTAATTGTGTATAAAAAATACACAAATCCCATTCCATTGGAAGATGGGTATGCAAGAGACAATATGGAATATTCTGGGTCAGATCTCAGATGAATAAATTAACCAGACAAAGATTCAAAGATGCTTGTCTGATGGGTCAGGCTTGTGAAGAAATAACCACAAAACACCAAACAGACTTGTGATCATACTGTTCTTTATTACAATTAACAGAAGATTACACTTTAGTTCTTCTTCTTGGCAACACCAACAGTTCTTCCCTTGCGACCAGTTGTCTTGGTGTGCTGACCACGAACACGGAGGCTATAAGAAAAAGAATATTTATATTTAAAGTTGTGTCACAGAAAGGACTTAACACTCCAAGTCCAAAGCTAAGAGCATCAATATTCTTCTTACAGGATCTCTGTCTCATCAAACAAGATCATGCACCATGCTTACAAACAGAGCAGACAAAAATTCTGACCGGTGTAAAAACCAAACTGAGTCTATGTGCCTGGTGCCACTTGAATACTTTTCATTAATTCACATTCTCACTGTTTCACCGGTTAGTTATGTAGTGACTGGCCAGAATAATTATCCAGACAGTCAACAACCTGTTATTAAGTAGTATCAACAAACCATACTGCTAGCTATTGTAGTTAATTCAATAACCAAATAGCCAACTAAAAAACTGCAAAAGTGAAAAGTCTGCGACAAACTAAGTCACTCAAATGGATCATCATGCTGGAAAAAAGAATAACCATTATTTGTGTTGGGGAATGGTAAAATAGATTCTAAAAAGTGCAGGTAATCAAGTCTTGTAAACTTATATTGCCAACATTATAGGAGGTCTAACATGTTTCTCCATCAAAAGGTTTGTGCACAAGGAAAAGAACTGTACTGTGGGTTGTTTTTTTTGTAAGTTATCAGACACAGTTTGGTCATAGCTCAACAAACAGATTAATGACTAACCAAAGCACTACCTTTTATTAACAAGACCCAGTCAACTGACAATAGACACAAGCTTACCCCCAGTAGTGACGAAGACCACGATGAGCACGAATCTTCTTCAACCTTTCAAGGTCCTCACGTAGCTTGCTCTCAAGATTGTTGGCAAGAATCTAAAACCAAAGCATGCTGATGTTGGCAAGAAGTCTTTCAAAACAAACACACTTGACAATAAGTCCAAGGGCAATTTCCCATACCTGTGAGTACTTGCCATCCTTGATATCCTTCTGCCTGTTGAGAAACCAGTCAGGGATTTTGTACTGACGAGGGTTTTGCATAATAGTTATAACTCGCTCCACCTGCCAGTACAAACAAAAAAATTGCGTTAATATAGGTTGTTGTGGAATGTTCAATGAGAAATGAGTTTAACATCTTGTATCAAACAAAGTAAAAGAGAAGAAATGGACAATGAAGAGAATGACATCCAAGACAGTAAACTGACCTGTTTGTTTTGATAGGTAACTACTGTATGGTAAGCTGTGTATTTTAAATACAATTTTAGAAGTATGAAGTATCACATTACCTCATCATCAGTGAGTTCTCCAGCACGTTTATTCATATCAACATCAGCCTTCTTACACACAAGGTTTGCATACCTTCGCCCCACACCCTACAAACAATATAAATTGATTCACTTACTGTAGACATGAAAGAAACAATCACAGCAATCTTAGCCATGTCAAAATGACAGTGTCTCCTGACAGATTGAAAATACATTTGTGCTTATGTTAAATCTTGCAAAAAAAAAATTTTCCAGCAAGTTAATATTTTGGTATATGAGATATATACCAGTTTGACAACACATTTTAGGATGTAATGAGTGTCAAATAAAATTGATGTGACTTACATTTTCAAATCATGACAACAAATATACCAAAATAACACAGTGGTGTCATAAATATCGAATACAACAGAACACATGGCTGCTTGGAGATAAGATACTTCACTTCAAGTGATCAACTACAAATTTGTATGCTCGACACAGAATTAACTTGAAGAAACGTTCTATACCTCAATGCAACCCATACATTATACACTTGTCCATGGCATGACGCAAAATTTACTTTGCTCTCCTTTCTAACCTTAATGGAGGTCAGTGCAAACATAATCTTTTGTTTTCCATCGATGTTGGTGTTCAGTACACGCAAAATGTGTTGAAACTTCTCAGGAATTACAAGCGCCTGTGAAAATGATATGAACTCATGAGAGAACTGACACAAATACTAACACGTCTAGAAAAACAAGAAATTGGTGAGGAAGCTCGAAATTTTAACAAAAAAGACGTAGTCGTGGAATTAATACAGCAACGAGATTCACTTTGAGATCTCAGTTACTGCGCAGTACAAAATTCTAAGGCGTTCTTCACAGTGGAATATTGGCAATAGAGTTATATCGTTCCCCTAACAGGACCCTAAAATACGCGTATTTGGTAGTATATATAATTGAAACATATGAAAAAGGACTTGGGAAACTGCACTCAACGGTTTTCAAGAAAAACTTTCGTTCGCCAAAGTCTCACAGATAGCTTCGACTATCTGTTTAGTAAGCTTCTGCAACATTTCATCCCCTACACTTGATGTAAACCTCTGTGTAACACAATCAAGACCTGAGGACATTGCTAGATCATAAGCAGTTTGACCAGCGTCATTTGTAACATTGGTCCGTGCACCTAACCCTAACTTGCATTTATTTTCTGCCATCATACTTCGCACACGGAGCAAATTTACAAAATAAATTTTCACAGTAGTTTTTTAATGTTCAGAGAGTAACATGTGCTATGACAAGGGTCTCAAAGCGATCAAGAAGCTAAGATGAAAACGGATATTTTTTCATCACCACTTCTTCCAGACAAGTACCTTACCATGATGGCAGCCGAAAGAGAACTTCTCAAAGTGCATGATGGGATTTGTATACACCACTGAGCCCGCGAACCATATAAGATCAGCGAACACCAGCAAGGTAAGTGATTCATGTATCCTTAATATAGTTTATTCAGATAATTCGGAATCATCCAAATGAGCAACCGTTTTGGATATGCCAGGCGTAAGGAACAGGAAAGTAACATGCTACATGCAACATGTTAGAAGTAGTATTCCTGTGTGTTATATGTTCTGATCTAGCCAGGGGTTCTGGACACCATCCGAATTGCACAATTTTGTTCATACTGTAGCCTATCATCAAGAACCAATCCTCCGTAGCAAAAAAGATGACGACTGGTACATTTACCCACAGTTCTTAGCGCACAACAACTTTAAAAACGTCTATAAAAACGTACAGAAACGTTATAAAATCTTCAAACCCAGGCTACTCGATGTCCTTTGTACAGGAACAAATATTATAAACATTTGGCTTTCTTAGTGCCTTATAGGCTGTGTTAGGTTCGCAAGGTATGGTGGTAAAATGTACAGCCGCCATCTTTTCTCCTATGGTGGATTGTGGCATGGACAAGCCATATAGTAATACTACACTTTTAGAAATTACTTTTTTAATAGGGAATGTACATTTCTTTACAATTCAATGTAATTAATAGAAAACGTTAAATAAATGTGTTTAATTTAGCATTCTCTCCTGTTAATTTTCTTTTTGAACAAGCACCAACGTAGTTGAACATTAAAAGGCTCAAGTGATTTTAACAGATATTGGCCAGAAAAGTGCTCCTTTCTGGGATGGTTAACAAGACAGTCCTAAGCCTATGGTTATTTTGGTCCATATTTTCTTCTTTAAAAGTGGATAGGTAATATGAATTAACAAAAAGGGTAAAACAAAAGGTTTTTTCTTCTGAAGTGACTATGTGGGTAGAAGTTGCTATTTCATACATAATTTTTTGTTTTGAAAGCTTACTTCCTAAGGTATCATCTTTAATATTACTTCTCATTGTGACACTCAAGTTTGTTATATTTGACATCTTGGCTAAGAAAATGGAAATTATAGTAAAAACAACAATGACTTCACTCAAAAGAATAAACATGTCCTCAATCATTTTGGTTTCACCTTGCCTGAAAATGTCAGTTGTCTCCTTGGACTGATGGATGTCAAGGTGGCTGACATTTGAAACTAAGTTTCCGCTGAAAAATTTTGGGTCACTTTTAGAGATAATGACCTTTCGAGAAAATGACCTTTCAAGTTTAACCTAACTTTTTAAAAGATAACTAGCTGAAATTTAGATAGTTGAAGTTAAACATCATATTTGGTTGTAAAGGTATGGCTACAGTTAAAACAAATATATTTCAGTCCAAATCCATGTACGACTTGTGATATCAGTCCTCAGAGTATCATTTACAGATTTGACTAAAGGACTGGTAAACATAAAACCAAGAAAACAATATTATTACTGCAACAAATTTAGACTGAAATTCTTGCATTGTCCCAAGGTTTGCTACTTATCAGAACAACATGCATTGCTGATATGTTCAGTTACTATTTACCACCAGATCAATGTCAGTAACAAAATCTCCACACTGATCTACCTACAGCACTTCCAGTATTGTCGGTAGAGTTTTAATACTGATGCTGGTTCATTACAATAACTAGCAAAACTGAACGGTTCTAACAGCTCATGGAATGCCAAACCAAACATATTCTGTACTTGCATCTTGACCTTGACCACTCAGCCTTTGCCAAAATACAGTCTAACATCCAAATGCATCACTTAGTGGCAGTTTCACAACTCCCACTCCACCGCCAAGTCTGCGATAGTTCATTCCTCCATAAAGCTTCCACTGGTTAGACACTGGATCGAACACTTCAATAGTCTTAAGATAAGTGGTGCCGTCAAAACCACCAACAGCAAGAAGCTGGCCATTCACTACTGCCAGTCCCACTCCACTGCGGCGAGAGTTCATTGCAACTACTGGAAACCACTGGTTTGTTTTTGGATCATAACATTCAGCACTGCTTAGTTCTGTTGCATCATCTCTCCCGCCAACTAAAGAAACAGAAAAAAAATAACTTACTCATTATTTTGTACAACAAATTCAGTTGATAATGTTGTGAATGAATGAATGCCTAAATATTTTGAATGGACTGGTTATTATTGTTGTGTTTTGTGGGTAAAGTCTGCATACAAGCCAAGTGGCCCATATTTCTACCCCTTCTGGATGGGATGCTAGTTCATCACAGGGTTATCCCCCCCNCAGTACCCATTTATACATCTGGGTGGAGGGAGGCACTGTGGGAGTAAAGTGTCTTCCCCTACCATGGCTCAAACCCAGACTGCTCGATACAGAGTCACACTAACCATGAGGCCATTGCACATCTCCATATGATGTGTTTAGTCAATGTAAATCGCTTTTTATTTGCTCATCGAAGTGATATTCAAACGGGAAACTTCCAGTGTGGGATATGGGACAAGCAAGTCCACTTTGCCTCCAGGGACAATTTTCAACGGTTTTCAACTTGTTGGTTTCAAGGAAATTGAGGCTTTTTATTGGTGCAATGAAAATTTTCAAGGAAATTTGTGTTTAACCTGTAACATGCAAGAGTGAATCATCAATTTATATTATAGAATCTTACCAACATAGAGTTTATCTTGGAACAAAGCTGCTCCAAGATGCTTCCTTCTTGTTCCCATGGGAGCCACTGGACTCCACCGATTTGTTTTAGGATCATATTTCTCTACCGTGTTTAAAGGTGAAGTACCATCTGACCCACCAATGGCATAGAGATATCCGTCGAGCACTGCAACACCCACACCCAGTCGACGAGAACTCATAGATGCCACCCGAAACCATCTGTTTTCTTGAGGGTCATACTTTTCAACAATGTACAGACACGAAACACCATCTTGCCCTCCAACAGCGTACATGTACCTAGAAGAGTTGTATTGAAAATTGATTTTTATTTGCTATTTATTGATATTATTTGAATCAAAACTAATATTTCAGGGGAAAATCTGACAAACCAATCGGAGAAGGAAAAATCCAAAGGAAGCATCCTCAAAAGGTTTCATTTGCTTCATTTGAAACTATGGCACAAGAGGCAAATGTTCAAATCTGATTTCCTTAGCATTAAATGGCCAGAATTATTGCTACACCTCCTGAATGGGATGCATGCTAAACAATCGCAGATAGCGCCATCTTACCTCCTCCCCCACAAATATTTTGTCAGGTTACCCTTGCCAATTAACTCGCCAGTTCCTTTCTACATACCCTGGGTGGAGAGAGATGCTGTGAGAGTAAAGTATCTCAACCAAGAACAGAACACAGTGATCCCAACCATGCTTGAAACTAGACCTTTCTGAACAGGGTTCAGGTCACAGACCATTTGGCCACTACCATTCTTCCCACAAGGCCACACGGTAACCAGTTATCAATGATATCTTAACTTACCCATCAAGTACAGCAACACCAACACTGGTCCGGCAAGTGCAAGTGGGTGAAACCTCACTGCTCCATTGGTTTGTCTTGGGGTCGTACCTCTCAACACTGTTGAGGTAACTACTACCATCATGGCCCCCAACAGCATACAATAAATTGTCCAAAACTGCGACACCAACACCACAGCGTCGCTTGCTCATAGTGGCGACCATTTTCCAATCACTTGTCTGTGGCTCATAGCGTTCGACGCTGCTGATGGCATCCCCACTGCACCACCCACCCACTGCAAACAGTACCTCAGTACATTTCGTCGGTTTTCGTGGTCGGGTTCGTGGCCCCTGCATGAGCAACCTTTGCTCCGGAAGTAAAAGATAATTCTTTGCTTCATCGACCAAGTCCCTACATGATTCATCACTTTTCACCAAAGGATCAGTGCCAACGACACCAACTAAGAATTTGGGCAATAACAGCGGTAGACGGACGTGTTGTAAAATCTGCGAAAGATGGCATCGCCTCTCTGAAACGCTATATTTGACCCAGTTTATAACCGCTGTAAATACCTGCTCCTCCGAGCGAATGTTTAGCTCGTCGCTTGAGAGAATGTCAAGTAATTGTGTCACTGGTAGAAGCAGGAATTCCTCACTTTCCATTACTTCTTGGAAATTGTGTTGAGTGAAAATGTCAGCGATACGTAACAGATCGCGACAGGCGTGAGTATCAGCGAAGGCCCTAATACCAAGACAGTTCGAAGGGTCGAGTTGGCGTTTTAGAAATTCGCAGCATATTTCCTGAATTTCTGAGATCTGAAGAAGGCAAGCGGCAGGGAGAAGCACCTGAACATTGCCCTCTTCCACAGTAATCGACGCTGTGTAAGCGAAATCAACGAGTAATTCCATCGCTGTTTCATCGACATCTTGGATTGTTATCTCCATTTGCCTGCTCTCTGCCATCTCTCCGGTGAACATGGCCCGAAAATATGGGCTACACGCCGCCAGAATCACCCGATGTGCAAACATGGTTTTATTCCCAGCCTTTATAACAACATCACACAGTTCTTTGCATTGTCGTAAAGCTTCTAAAGTGTCCAGGAGTTGCTTAGGGTGGCGATCCGAGATATGCCTCATCCTCGGTTTGTTGGGTTGAGAAGTGGACTTCAAAGGGCTGCCACCAAGGAAACCGAAGTCAATCGTCGAGCTTTTCTCCATGTTACCGACAGCGAGATAACTATATTGCCAGTCTTGAAAGTTTGCTGTGTAATTTAACTCATTTTGTTTTTAATTTGTGCCACTTTAATGTGAATTCTCACCTCTTTCACCACAACAACAAACGAAACAATACGACCAGACTGTGTAACCTGGCATCGGAGAAGAGTGAAAACATGGGATTTGAAAAAGAAGGAAAGGGAAGGAGTTTGTAAGCAAGTGGGTCATAATCTCTTGGTCTTAATTTTTTTAAAACTTCCTTTTTCTTCAGGTTTCTAACTTATTTGTAACTGCACGAAGAGTCACCGTTAAAATTGTCAATGGGCTATAGCTGTACTTGTAACGTTCCCCTCCGAGCCCCGACTACTACCCCATTTAGTGGGCCGAGCAGGGAAGAAATCACGCCCTCCTCCGCCCTCCTCCACTTCGCTGCCGAAGTTTTATGATGTTTCTGATCTGAAACTGACAAACGAGTTCTGTCTTGTTTTCAAGGACGATAACTATCCACTCTCAATGTTTCTGTTTGCTTGGCTGTTTTTTTGTTTTGTTTTGTTTTTTTTAATTGTCGTGCACCACTTTTACATTCTCCATTTCTTGAAGGCTTTCCAGGTCTTGATAATTTACGAGAACTCGCAAAGTTATCTACGTTTTTCAAAACTACGTCAAGCTTTCGTGCATTCATCTGTAATTAACTTTATGTTCTACGGCATTTAGTCTAACATGGTGGAAACCAGCTTGAAAGCCAATGGCTACTCTGGGTACCATGTACATATTTTTGTAGTCTTTCCATAGAGATATATATGTAACATCTATTTATTAACTCTGCAAATAGAGCGCAACAATAAAGAAGTTGAAGCTGAAGTTTCATGCTGATCAGGTAATTAATACTGAGGAAGGGCCACGCACGAAATCATAACTTTTGAGCTTTTTTAAACACTGTCGAGTTTCTCGGTACAAGAAAGAGGCTCAAGGCTGAGCCAAAGTTGGTCTTGGATTCTCATGCTAGGAACAGATCCAGGAACGGGAGAAGGTAACAGGTGCGGAAGCATGCCCTCCCAGAAGATTAAAAAGTCTAATTTCTGTGAGCAATTATTTCCTGCTTTATAAAGTTTATTTATGAAGAAAAAAATTGAGGTTAAGCCGAATAACAGATTTTTTAGAAGAGCAGAAGAGGGAGAGGGTTGGGCGGGAGAGGCAAGTCTTCCTCTAATTCGGTGCCCGTTGTCTCTGGTTCAACGTACTTAAATTGACCCCGTGACCCTGAGACTGGAGAGAATGTCGCACCGCGGTCGTAAAGAATTAGACCAAAGAGAAAGCAAATTAAAACAGTAATGGGCTATGACGTCCATGGGAATTTAACATTATTAACGACTGTTGATTACAAGAGGAATCTATATCCTGTCCTTTGCTTTTTTTTACCATGCATCACTTCCTACTAGTATTGTAATTCTTTACTCAACAAATTGAATGAAATTTAAGTCCACTACTCGCTTCTGGTTCTTCATGATGATAGTCCAATGTTTCAAGCTGCAGCCCTGGGTTTGAAGACGCGAAAGTGAGTTCCGCCACGCTTTGAACATTGTTTTCAGTCTCACTATTCAGCCCTGCTGGAGTGGAAGGAAATTTCTCCACAAAGTAATCAGCGAACCTTTCATGACTGCCACAGTTTCTCATTTCAAATTTTTGAGGGTTTCTTTTCCTGTTTGCTCGAGAAGAAGCCACCAAGCGTTCGAAGCTTAAGAATAGAATTGAGACAACAATTCCGGCCGCGACAAGAACAAAAACGCCGTTGTAGTTATATACGGACAATCTGTCTGGCGTTTTCTCAAAATCTTCCTTTTTCAAGCATTTCCGTACAAGCCACTTGTTCCATAGGTCTGCTAACACGTTATTGTCGCTAAATTGCTGAATACTATTTGAGAGGGGCTGGGTCCAAGAGGATTGTTTTCTAAGGACCAGCCCGTAGCCAGAGATGCCAAATGGCTCTCCCACAATTCTCAGGGAACAGTTGTGCTGCGAAGAGACCATGTGTTCTAGGTAAGGTTGGTCGTCTATGTAAACTGAAATTTCCCTGAAGACAAAAGTGAATACAAGATCAGGGTGGCCAGTATACATCCTGATAAGAAAAGCCAAAATTCGAATCTGATGACATGTATCAATTTACTGATCGGTATTTGTGCAGTACAGTACTGTCCAGTAATTCATGATTTAGATTACTGCGTCATAACACTGTGAACTACGAAGCTAACGTTTCTACTTCGAAATCTTTTAGAAGGGAACGCTCACGAACTGGCGCATGGTAAAAGATGCTAAAGATTGATGGAAGGAATCTTCTTCAGTTTAGCATAATACGAAATGAGATAGATTTTGAGCTTGCTAAATATATCAGAAGATGATTTCTTCGGTCAGTGACACAGGCAAACTCGGGAAAAGAAGTCAGTTTATTAGTGAACAGAGAGTTTCCAAACGAGAACCCTTCCTGTCAATGAACAATGAGTGCACGGGTGAGGCTCTGGAGGCGAGATTCTCTTATATCTAAGGGTTGTAATCATTGGTAACTGGCGAGAAGTTCTTTTAATATCACTGAGACACGCCGAAGCTTCCATCTTAACTAAACTTTACCCTGATTCTACTTTCTTGACACCATCATACACATTTTCCACGCTATGGTCTTTCATGTTCTGATATATCTTACGCATGCGTGGGTCATGATTAAACTTGAAGTAGGCCTCAGTGCTGCTCGACTTTAGTGTCCCGAAGCGAAAGCCTGGGGGAGGGTTTAACATCTGTTGAAAAGAATATGACAATAAGATCAACAAATTAGGGGACAATTGTAAGCGTGAACAAATAAAACTGAAAACTTTTGGGCTATCGAAAAGCTAGAAATTATTGGCTTCTGATATCGCATCTTAAGGAATTACCAGTAAAATACCATGAATAAGACATATTTATATTCTCGCATTTCTCGGTATTGGATTGGAACTAGCTTGCAAAGGAGGCTCATGCAGGGAATATCATTAATGTTACTTGCATTTGAAAAGACTTCCCGCATTAGCCTCAGTTGCAAGCTAGTTCCAGTCCAATACCGAGAATGACACCGTTTGGGGTCAGTAGTCAAACAATTTGTATTTTGTTGAACAAGCAGAACTGAATCTAAAGAACGATAGTTGCAGAGTGGGACTACACTTAGACACGGAGAATCACTGAGGAAAAAGCATCATAAGATTCGTGCCTTTCAGACCTTGAACAGTGCGAAACTGAAAGGCACGGACGATAAAGAAACTAGAAATGAGTTTATTTCATTAGGGTTCCGCTACAAACTGAGAGTCCGCCATAGTGGGGCTCATTGTCACAAAAACCACATGTTTAAGAAGACTGTTGCCTAAAGTGTTATGTCGTGACAGGGACGAAGAGACCTCAGTAAGTTAGTACTGAGACAATCTGTAGTTCTTTGTCAGTTTACCTTTTCATCATGTATCCCTGTTATCGGTGGTTCTGCTTCATCTTTCACCTTGGTGGCAGCAAGATTGGCTGTGTACGTGCTGCTGAGGATGATCATGGCGAACGCGAAGAAAATAGCGACAAAGCGAGAACTTAAGCTTCTTGGAAAACCACTTCCAGCCGGCACGTGTACAAACGTGCTCCACGTGTAGGACATGCTTTCAAGCAGTGTCACTCTTTGTCTCCTTTTAAAGTACTTCTTTTCTCCCCCCAAGAAAGGGCGTTTGCTCTTGGAATAAAACTCCCTCGTTTTTCGGTCCAGGAACCACAACGCAAGGAGTATCGTAAGAATTGTTGTCACAATAGCAAGCCACAAGCTTGTGCCAAATGGTTCAAGGAATTCCATGGTTATCAAAGGTCTGGCAATATTTCCGTTCGCTATCATCATTCCTATGCCAACCTCGCCGTAAGGAGAAGTGAAATCTACCACCTGACTACGTTGCGCGTTGATGGTAATGGAGCCAAGGGCCATATCTGCATGTCCGTATAACACCTCTCCTATCATTCCATTCCAACGGCCTGTGGCATCGTCTATGGCGCCATACTTCCCATCTGGGACAAGATAGAGCTCGTAACTGAAGCCGAGCTTGTTCTGTATCAAGCCCAGAAGGTCCACCATTAAACCGGATACGCAGAAAACATACAACTGTTCCGTGTCGTTTCGATTCGTGTCGTGTCGTTTCGTGTTATTCGTGATTCTTGACTGCGCATGCTCATAACAAGGCACGCCTACTTCGCAACTCGGTTGAAGTGATCTTCGTTGCAAGCTTTTCTTTGTACAAAGCTCTCCGTCTTCGCAGCCTAACACACCACCGACCTTGTAAAGATACTGACCATGTACTATGGTGACAATTCTAAGAGCCTTTGCCTCGCTGTGAGGAATGCGGCTGAGTTGTCGAAGAATGCTGCCTTCTATTTGAATACTTTCCTTGTATCGATATGTTCCAATTTTCATCCAGGATCGCGCCTTCACAGAATTGTTTTCATGCTTTAAAATAGTGTAGGCATCGCTAAGAAGTTTCTGGTTGAGCGAAGAACTTGCGTTTGCGTTCCCAAGATGACTGTGAAAAGAACAGGAAATTTAATAAGTCCATAAGGTAGGTAAAGTGTGCATACGAGCCTAGTGGCCAATGAGGCCGGAGCTTATCCCGGTTTCTGTAATAGGAGTATTTTTTTTCTCTCCTCCCTGGATGGGATGCTAGTTCATCACAGAGTTACCCCCAGCATTAAGTTCGCCGGTACTCATTTTTACTCCTGAGTGAAGATAGGCACTATGTGAGTTAAGTGTCTTGCCCAAGAACACAACGCCGGCGGCTGCTTGATACAAATCGGGCCTGTCGTAACATTTAATTACTAATTGAATACTTAGTATCTAAAGAACTTTACACACCAGTTTTTGAGCTAGTCCAGGCTGAATAACAACGTATACTTAAAGACAGAGCAATATGGACATTTGTGTTAGGTGGTATACACCAAATATGTGTTTAATACATCTTACCTTACAAACATTTTACGCGAAATCCATCGAAACCGATCACCAAAACAAGACTCGTTTGTTGGAGGTAAAACAGTAATAAATGAGTCAACAGAATCGGCTTTCACTGGAGAAGAAAGAATCTGTAAAGCGTTCATTGCTGCAATAATCAATAATAAAATGCAAACATCGATAATGATACACTTTAACATGCCTACAACATCCACAAATAGATGTTAACTGGCCAAACCAAGGTAATTATTCTGGCCAAGCAAAAAGGACGCAAAGCCCGTGTAAACGTGCGCGAGAGAGTCACGGTTGGGTTAAGTTTTACCAGGAGCCATGATCGTCCCCGATTATGGCTCCTGGTTTTACTTCTGATTGGATGAAAAGGTGGCGCGAGTTTTTAATGCCAATTATGTAGGGTGGTAATGCAAAACCAATTACTTTTCGACACTCAATTGAAAACCGCTCTATTTTTTTTTCTTTCGGCCATGTATAGGGTGCTTTCGATCTGGCCTAGTGTATGGCTATCATGTAGATAGCGGTGCAGTGCCGAGTGGTGTTCATAAAAACTTTCGGCAAGTTAAAGCCAGCGTTTCATTACCTTACACTTGCAAATTAAACTGGTGAAAGGTGCAAAAAAAAAAAACCTAGGTGAGCCAGTTTGCTACCGTTAGTTCAATTTTGCGCCTAGATGGCTCGACATTCATGGAACGCTATCTCTGTCCTGACTGGTTGAGAAGAACAGACCACCGATTGCAAGAGGGCATTTTGGAACACTCTTTAAACTAATTCTTACCTATAGTTTCCTCTGAAGTATTAAGTTTGATTCCGATAAAGTTTGAAACAGTTATCCCCACGGAAGTGTTACTTGTGGCGCGAACAACAGCCTCTGTTCCAATCCACAGGAAATGCTCAGAAACCATCCCCAGGTCCCTCGCAACTTCTAACACAGTCTTCACCGAGTGCTCCCGGCAAGCTAAAACCATTACTTTGACCTCTTGCATTTTTATTTTGACCAATGTTTCCGCTACAAGAACCTTGGTCGCGCTATCGTACAAATCCTTGGTGGGGAGTAATGCCTCGAAGACATAACCAGTATTTGTTTTGCCTCCTGAAATAATCGTTTTTGCCAGCTTATCATTTCCATCCTGCATTTCATATATAATGGCGTACTTGTCAACTTGTAGAAAATCAAGAATTCCTTGAATCACTTCAGATTGACGAGTCGAAGCAGGTCGAAGGAATTTGTAGTTCTTATTCTTAAACACCTTCTATTAAATAAAAGAAAATATGTTAATTAATTAATAATCCGACGCATTCCGAGTTTTCCAAACTAAGTATGAGTTTTCTTTATAGTTCTGAAGAAACTGTTTACAAATATTAAATTAAATATTCATTACTCTCGGAAATGTCTGCCTGGTTAGATAAAAGACTTGGGCCGTGACACTGCGAAATGTGGCGTGTTTACCTATGTAATGATATGCCATAGTCGTCGGCATACTAATGAGATCTTTTTATTTCAAAATAAGCTTTAAGCAGTAAGTATGTAAAAGGCTAAGAAGTTCACTGAACCATCAGAGTCAAAATAAGAAAAAAAATTGAAAAAAGAAAAGGTTTTCCATGGAGATGATGTAAAAGTTAATCGACTTGTTGATTTCTACCGTTTATTATTTCGTCAAAGAACGTACCTGATTTTCAAAAGCTGGGTCTCTCTTTGTCCCCAAAATAAGCACTGGTATGAGTCCGATGAACTGAATGAATTCATTGAGAACTGAATCCTCAGACGGCAAGAAAACTGCGTGAACTTGTTGAGGAAGCAACTCGTGACACAGCAAATCAAGAATATCTCCAAATGACTGTAAATCTGTCTTAGAAACAGTAAGAAATTCAAACTTTACTTCGTGTTGCAGATGTTGACGCTTGCCATGGAGTTCAAGAGCTCTTTGAAAAACTCCAGTCCAATTTGTACTTGAATGTGTGTCCGTAATGAGTGCTAAACGAATTCTTGACAGTGGCTGCACGTCTGAAAATTGTGTTAGGAATATGATGACATGGAGAATAGTGAAGTATTTGTAGAACATATCCAAACTTAATTTTTGTGACATACGTGGGTTGGCTTAAATAGTTCCAAGGTCAGCATTTTACACAGCAAAAATTTAGTCCCAAAGTTTGTTCTTGATCATGATTTGGATGCAGTTCTCCCAGTGACAAATCTGAAATACTTTATATTCCAACAGATTTCCGTTGTGACACGGGTTTTCCTCCCATTAGCTTGAAACTTGCGTCGTTAAAAAACACTGTTGGTCGTCGTGAAATCAGAAGGTGGTTAACCAATACACTTTGCGGTGTTCAAGTCCCAGTAAACTTAAGCATATGTTGCCTTCACTTTAAAAAGTATACTCACTTCTGAATGTTCTCTAAAACATTTTCTGACTCCCCTTACATGTTATCAATAAATGACATGTTTTTTTACCAGGCGAATTAATAGAGGTTTGTACTAATTTATTGGCAGGTGCTTAGTTTGTCTCCTGCCGAGGTTTATTAATTTTAGTGGTAGGGTGTTTAAAAATACCGAAGACTTAATTATGCACGGATATCTTGGTGTTAAATGGTGTCCTTAATCCTTTATATGGAATTCAACTTGAAGGGACAAATCTTTTATTAAAAAACAAACAAACAAAAGCTCCACTGAGCCATTCATCAGTGGCGTGACCAAGGATATATCGGAATAAGGGCTCTCTGAGATTGCCCCGCGCCGGTCTCTCAACTTGATGTCAGCTGAAATTTATTGTGACTTCCAAATGTTACTGATTAGATAAAAAGACGACTAAACAAACTACTTGAGGCAAAAGGAAGTTATTTTCGTCTGTTCTAGGCTTTTTTTTAATCTAATCTTTTTCTTCAATGCACTTGTGAAATAAAGAGGTGATGTGTCAAGATGTGAAAACGAGTGATAGCAGGTTTTTTCCAAATTACACTTTTCCCTTCCATCCATCTATAGACACTCCCACCGCAAACCGTTTGAAAACCGAACGACGACAACAATCCATGAAGAGATAATTGTTGAAAGGCCAGTCAATAACGTAATTTAGAATGAAGCTGCTGTACAGTGGCGGATCTAGGGGAGNCCCCCCCACCCCTTATTTTGAAAAATCACAGAAGGAAGAAAAGCCGGCTGGGCAAGCAAAACAAAACCGCCCCCGCTATTGGAGCTGAGCGTGCATTATTAATAGAATATTTTTCTACCGACATCGTCTCTTGATTATTATAGATCGCTACAGATGCGCCGCTGAAAATTATAGAGCACGAATGGCCAGGATGTTTTGTTTCGTATATATGCAGTCTAACCTCTCCTCGACGGCCACCTTGTGGACAAAGGAAAATGGCAGTTGTGGAGAGGAAGCCGCTATGGGGAAGGTGCAGCATATTTATTTTATTTTTAGGCGCTTACACGCGCGCGCTGGGGTTGACACTGACGCAATCAACTACGCTACCAAGGACAGGACTAAAATGAAAGCAAAATTTTCCCACTGTGACCAAATCAAGTTTAATGAACCTGTACTTAAACCAGGAACACCAGAATAGCAGCATATCGCTAACCACTAACTGTTAACGGCTTCCAGCTGAAAAACCAACTGTTATCTGTCGAAAATTATACTGAAATCCAACTGTAAACATGTACCTGCAGATGGCGTAGTGCCCGCGCAAAACAAGTTCGAGATACGCAAATGTTTTCGTTAAGTAAGTCTTTAATACAAATAATTCCTATGGAAAACCATTCCCGAAGAAAGAAGGGTTTCCCTCCTATTAAAGTAGCTTTATCGTTGAAAAGGATTGTTTCCTGCCCCTGTTCATACTTGTAGTGAGATTTAATTTCAGAAAAAAGGATAGAATGTGCTTGTAGAAAGCTGGCAATTTAGGATCTAAATATTTTGTGTCATAGTTACATCTGAGCAGAAAATTTAATCCGCCAAGTTTTTGAAAAAAATAGTCTGGTATTGATTTTCAATTATGGCTGTCGGGATTTAAAAGTTTTGGGATCCAGGCAAGTCTTAATGCCTTTATCATTATATCGACATCAGCCATACGAATTCCGCCTTTATCATAGTCTTGATAAATACTTTCTCTCTTGATTTTGTCTTTTTTGTTGTTCCAAAGGAAACCGAATAACTTATCTTTGATGTCATATCTGATTTCGTTTGGGACATTGACATTAGAGGCTGCATAGACTATTTGTGATAGCCCGAGCGATTTAATGATAAAAACTTTTCCAAACAGGGTCAAATTTCTTGCTTTCCATAAATCCAGTTTTGTCTGTAATTTCTGAATTTTTAAATCGAAATTAAAGTGCTGGTTCTTGTTTTCATCATAGGAGAAGTATACCCCTAAGTTTTAAACAGGTTGGTTTACCCATCCTAATTGTAATGGCTTAGAGAGATGGTACCAAATCTACCGACCGTGTCAAGAGCGTGTTCTACAGAAGTAACGTCTGCACAGAATAGGTTAGTGTCATCTGCAAATTGACTTATTTTAACCTCGTTTACAAATAAATTAATCCCTTTGATTTCGACTGTCTGACGAAGTCTGTTCGATAATATTTCGGACCCAAGCATGAAGAGATACGGGGATAGCGGACAACCTTGTCTGACCCCCCTTGTTGGTTTAAACCATTTCGTTTATGTCAGCATTTTTGTGGAGATTTAAGGCTAATTATCTCGAAAAAATGCATAGCTACCCCAATTTTTCTCCAGGGATTCCAGTAGCCCTTACAAAGATCTACTTTTTTCGCGTGGTCCTAACCTGGCGCAAAAACCTTTGTATTTAGTAGGCACCGTCCTCTGAAGACGCAACGGGGAGACACGCTTAGAGCCCGCGTTATTCAGCAACAGCAGTCTGTTGTCAAACAAAAATGGCGGAGGACGTAAACAACGACTCTCCTCCTTCGAAAGTGGAAGAACGCAAAATCGTGGTGGAGTTTTGTCAACTACAAGAGAAATCACGACAGCTTTTTAACGCACTGAGGTATTACTCTTTTTCTGATGTCTTCCCTGTGGTATATCATCTGCAAGCGACTTGTCAGTCTGCATGGAGGGCGTGTATCGGTATGCCCGTTCCTGGAAACCCTCATATGTAATTACCCTCATATATATTTTCCTTTAGAATCCTTATACATGCAGAATTAGTTTATTCGAAATGGAGCATTTCGTGCTATATATAGGTGATGTTTTCTTTAAGTTAAATGTTCTTTGACTCGCTTCTTGTATGTTCAAGTTTGGGACAGGTAGGGACAGCGTATTGTGCAGGCTCAGCGTTCTTGAAAATATTTCTCAGCTCGTTATCTACAGCCTAGGTTAGGAGGAGGACTTTGCTGTGATTGACTGATGTATTGTAAGGAAAGACGTTTTGTAAACTCTATGTTGCTTACCTTGGGTTTTAATGATTACCCTGATTCAAGAGAGTGGTTTCTAGGTGTTGAGAGTCAGTCTACATAGACTGCATACAGTGCAATATGAATTTTGTATGTGCTGATCGGGAGCTGTATAGTCAGAGGCAATGTCTGTTCCAGTTCTGGGGATCAGAAGAGGTTTCCAGTGTCTGGTTTGTGTTGCGTTAAGTTGTTATGTGTATTGCAACTCATCCTGCAGAATGAGTACCAAGAAAAGTAGCTCATGCAGTCATAGATTATGCATAGGTTAATAAAGTAACTGTGGAGGTGCATTAATGGCCTAACGGTTAGAATTTCGAAGTCTGGATCAGACAGTCCAGGTTCATGCCCTGAACAGGGTCATAGCATTGTTTACTGAGCCAAGACACTTTACTTGCATAGTGCTTCTTCCATCCAGGTGATGGGTGAAAAAAGTAAAAAAAAGCCTGCATACGAGCCAAGTGGCCCATCAAGCAGGAGCTTATCCCAGTTTCTGTAGAATGAAGCAACTATGAGTATTTCAGCTTCTCCTCCCTGGATGGGATGCTAGTCCATTGTAGGGTTACCCACAGCATTAAGCTCGCCAGTACCCATTTATACATCTGGGTGGAGAGGAGAACTGTGAGAGTTAAGTGTCTTGCCCAAGAACACAATGCAATGACCTTGGTCAGGGCTCAAACCCAGACCACTCAATCTGGACATGAGTGTACTACCCACGACGCCACCACACCTCCCACAAAGGAGGAGCATAAATACTCCTGCTCACTTCATGCTACAGGAACCGACTAGTGCTCTGAAGCTCTGATGGCACAGCCTCTTGTCCTGACCTAGACTTAATATTACTTCTGTCAATAACTTAAAATTATACCAACTTCAAGTTATTATAAAATCATTACAATAGTAATAATTTTAGGGTTTCAAAAACTTTAGTGGGTGTAAATAAAGCAGTGCAAAGTACATGTCAATTTCTCTTTGCTCAATTTATGATCAACACAGAGACTTGCCACAGTTCGGACACAAGCACTGGCAGACTCATTTTGGAAAAACTTTTGATGTCTATACTAGGGTAAATATGATATTTTTTAGAAAAGGTATATACAGTCTATTTTTGTGTGTGTTTTATGGCTGCTTTCTTGGTTTACTGTGAATTAAATAAAGAAAAAATAAACTTTGTTTTTTTTCTTCTGTCAGCTGTGGAAATTTCAGCAGAAGTACAGGTACATTAATTTCTTAATTAAGGATGTGTTAGAGGTAGACAGAATTGGTTCATTGCTTGTTGTAGCCAGAAAATAATGAGAAATGTGGGGCCACTGAATTCTTATAAAGCTACTTGAAGATTGCTTTGCCTGATGAAGCTTTAACAGACCTATTTCGATATATTAGAATTCAGCCTAACACAATAGACCTCAGCACAAGGCTCTGGGGAATAAACCCCACAAACTCTGTAGTTATTTCCCAGAGCCTGGTACTGAGGTCTATTGTTTTATGCTGAATTTTAATATATCAAAATTGGTCTATTTTGTCCCTCAAGTAATACAGATGTGGTTTCTTAGGACCCTTGGTTAAAAACCAGATAGATGCCTCTGAATAGATCAACAGCATTTTACCTAACATATTTAAGCTTCTCAATTAATTTTGTATAATATTGACAAGAAGAACTTGTGCACACTGATTTAGTCTGTTCTGAATAGTCTCCAGCAATATACATAATTATATTTTTTTAGTTTTCTATACTCATAAGGCCACTGGATCACCTAAAACAGAAATACTCATTAGTTTGTATTTTCCTAGGTCTATTTTGGACACTAAATATAACCTGAAAAGATGGCAGATAGGAGAAATTGCATCCAAAATTGGACAACTTTACTATCATTACTAGTAAGAGTTTCTATACTGTTCCTGTGACAAATTTTAGCAACTGTAATTTATATAATCAGGTACTGATAAATGGAGGAGGGTAGTTGTAGTAAAGAGAGGGATGGCAGGGTATAGCTCCTGGGAGGCTGCAAAAGTGGTACTTAGGGAGAGGGTGGCATTGAAACAGAATGCTGGAGCCTTAGGCACCAACTGGCACAGGAGCTATGACGAAGACAACAGCAACAATGATGATGATGATGATGATGATGATGATTATGATGATGGCGATGATGAAGATGATGATGGCAGTGATGATGACAACAATAGCTTAGGCACCAACTGGCATAGCAAGCTATCACGAAGGCAGTAGTGATGATGATGAATTGATAACGACAACAATGGCTTAGGCACCTACTGGCACAAGAAGCCGTGATGACAGCAATGACAATGATGATGGTAGTGGCAGCAGCCATACTGGTGGTAGTGGTGGCAGCAACTGTGGTAATGGTGGTCATCAAGGTGATGATGATGATGGCAGTGGTTGGACTTTGGTAGTGATTAATTTTTTGTGAGAAATAGTTGTTTTTTATCAAACCTATAAGATAGCCTCAGAAATATATACTTTGGGAAAAAGAATTGTAGGGTAGGTCTTGTGTACATAAATGGCAATGTTTTATGACCACAGGGGGACCTGAGGTCATTTTGTACTCTCTGTGTTGCTTTTCAATTTTTGTAGACGGTTATGTTATGTTATGTTATGTTATTTACTTATTTATTTGTTTATGTGTTTTTATTTTCTTACTCATTACTTTTCAGCCTTAGGACAAGTGAAGCAAACTACCTTCATGAGTCCTTTGGGTTTTATTCTGCCATCCGCTCCAGGGCGTACTACAGTCAAGCAAGCAAGGAAGAAAAGTAATTATACAGAATTGTTTCATTTGACGTTAGTTTCTTAAAAGAAGCCACACCTTTTCAGGTCAAATTTGGCACCTTTTAATACCTGTGAAATTTAACGCGCGCTCATTGGCCAATGTTTTATCTTGCCTAGTTCCTAGACCTCGATAATTTGCCACGGTCAATCCGTTTTGAGTCACGTGGTCTCGTCTCGTTTAGGTCACCGAATTGATCGTGAAGGCCTGGGAGAGAGCCATACTGGAGCTGGGCAATGTTTTATCACCAAAAAGAATACAGACAGTTTCAGACAGACACCTACGTAGGAGTAACTGACACACAGCTGGAGAGATTTCTCGTCAGATTATTAATTTACTTTCCATACACGTACCCTCATTTTCTCAAACGTTGAATGCGCTCGTTATTAATGTTTTATCAATTGACTTTTCAGGCCAGATCTGATGGTGAAAAAGCTTCGTTACTATGCGCGCTTCATTGTTGTCAGTCTTCTTCTTAATAAGGCGGATCTTGTCAAGGAATTAATACAGGTGATTCATTCTTTGACTGTGGTTCACACGTAACAAGCTACGCATTGTGCGCAACCAGTTTTTTATTGTTATTATTATTGTTATTATTATTATTATTATTATTATTATTATTATTATTATTATTATTATTATTAAATAAGAAACCTGGCAGTAGAACATCGGCTGCAAGTAACGGACTATAGGAGACGAAGACCGAAGGGACCCCCTAGCCTGAAATATCAGTCATCTTCCGCCTTCAACTTTTCCCAGGCGAGTGACTCTCTTGCAGTGGGGATTAGGCTGAGGACGGGAGATAACTGACATTTCAGGCTAAGAAACACCCATACAGTAGACCGAACGATAACGAGCTGTGGCTTAGATGTCAAACCGTTTTTATCGCTGTAGTCTTTGGTGTCTTGGTCAATCCATTACAAGTTGAAATTTTTGTTTTTTTTTTTACCAGGAACTCCATCACTATGTAGAGGAATATGTGAATGTGTATGAAGCTGACGACGATGAAGAGTGGAGGCTGGTGATTAGTGAAGTCACGGCTTTTATGGAGGTAGGGATGAACAATAAAGATTAATTTAGTTCCAATCGGTCTAGACTGTCATCAGTTTCTCTTTTGCTCGAAAATCCGCGGGGAAGAACGCAAAATCCGCCGCTCGCCTCTGCTCGTTTACTCAGGGTTTTACATTCTTCCACGCGAATTTTCCAGCAATCTGACGTGAAAACTTAGTCTTGCCACGTTTCCTCTAAAACCTGTTTTGTGTTTTGTTTTGTTTGTTTCCTGATATGCAGGCAGACTCGCTGGTGACAGTGATGACCCCGGATGTTGTTCCCGTGACTCTTTCACACAGGATGGGAGAAAACGTGAGTTATCTTGAACGGTTAATAAGCTTAAGATACGGTAGAGGAACGACACTTACATACACCCAGATGATTTTGGAGACTTAATTGTTGTTAAGCAGACCTAGGTTTGGACATTGTAGGTGGCCGATTCATCTCTACGATTTTTTTATTTAGTTTTTTATCGGTTTATTTATTTTTATTTTTTCAGGAAATTCCACCACAAAGACCGGTCAGTGGTACGTCGTTATCTTTGCAGGAGATCATTATCGTGGGAAACTGTGAGAAGCAGGTATGTGACAAACACTCATCCATTACTCACGCTAGCATAAGGACGCGCCCTTCTACTCCTGAGAACTGTCTATCGCACACTGACAGTTATTAGTTTAAATGTATTAGCGTTCTGTTACGAATGCCGTTCTCTAATTGGCTACTCTACTCACTATCTATATTCTGTTTTAGTATAAATCTACTAGCGTTTAATCATGAATTCCGTTCTCTGATTGGCTGCGCTACTCAATATCTATTCTGTGGTAGATAGTGGGTAGCGTAGCAGTGTGCCCTTGTTAACAAAATGACGGCCGCCTCTTGGCGTTTTCGAAGTGTCTGTGAAGAGAATTTAGATTAAGTTTTGAAGGACTAGTAGATTTATACTGAAACAATTAGATTATTCGCTCTCGATTTCTACACCTGATAGTTGACTCGGACCACACCCTCGTCAACTATCATGCGATAGGAATCTTGAGCTCATAATCTAATTGTTAAGTGTACTCCGATGTGTTGACGCAATTAAATGTTTTCTTGGCGAAGCTTTGTATCTTGATCATTCCTTCCATGACTCATTGCCAGGTCAAATTCAGCGAGTTGACACTGGACATGTTCCGAATGCTGCAGGCCCTAGAGAGAGAACCCGAGGACGCCCCGTCACGTACCTTGGCCACTTTCACTGAAATATCTGACGATGATAGGGTGAGCAATAACTTCCAGTCTGTTTTAAAATGAAACTAATAACAGCTGAGCTGACTTGGGGAAGATTTCAAGACGCTCGTGCTCTCATTTCATGACTGCGTACTGTAATAAACACAAGAGTTACTTGTCATTTGTGGAAAATCTTCGTTGGAGTACTCGGAAGTTTTCCGTTTCTTGATCTTTCTTGTCAGCCAATCGAAAAATAACACAAACCTTTGCGAGTGTTCCAAACCATGTTACCTCGACATGACTGTATGTTGATTAGCAACCACTTTGCCGTAAATCGCGCACTCATTCAATCTTGAGTACATGGTCCCGCACTTAGAAATGTCGTCATTCTTATAACTGTCAAGACTACGCCTGAAACTGTCAAAATTGTGTGTCATTGAATCTTGAGGACACTTAGAAATGTCGTCATTCTAGGCCAGAAACTGTTAAAGTTGTGTCTCAGCTCAGATAGTTCTCTCCTTTTTTTTTAGGAGACCAACGAGATCGAGCGGGCGTCATCCAAGAGACCGAATCCTCATAAATACCTTTTGTATAAGCCAACGTTATCCCAGCTGCACGTGTTTCTGGCCTGCGGTGTTAAGGTTTGCATCCTTTTCACTTTATTGCGGGCAAAATACGTTTCATTGCCTCGTTATTTATTTGCTAGACGAGTTCAGTCTAGTAAACGATTTCAACCAAGTCGTTATTCTTTCTTAACTGAATACTATGCCAAAGTTAGGTCTGGATTATATATATTTAGCAAAGAATGGCTAGACTAGACTAAATCGTCTTCTCACAGAATGGTGTCGCCGATAACCCTGGTCTAAAAGAAGTTTAAGGGCGTCAACTGAAGTTATCTCACGTAAATTTCATTCACTTGTTCATGTTCATTTATGTTAAACTGAACCCAATACAAGAAAAGAAATTGACGATGTTTATTCCGGATCATAGTTGTGTTTACAGTTACGCGAAGGAATCAGAAAGGTGTGTGTTGTAAACTGCTGTTCTTGTTTCAGGAACTTCCTAACAGTGGCGTTATGTTGGTGTATGTGTCTGGTGATGGTTGTCCTGGAAACGCAAAGGCTGGAGAAGAAGGTACATGGACACCGAAGAACAATCATGACTGACGATTGCGCCGCATAGAATTCTCGTAATTTCTTTGTTTAACAATGCTTTGTTTGTCTCCGTAGGTCCGTACGAGCAAGGAGGAGTTGCTATGAATCATAAAAAGGCGGGAAACGAAGAGGCCGCGAGGCGCCCGAGGACTAACCTGAAGGATGTACACTGGTACGTTGCTTTTGTACTGTGTCTTTGACACAAAACAGTTTTACAAGTTTTTCTTCCGTACTGCACTCCCTTCAAGAAACAACGGCCCAGCCGGTCTATATATTTAGGAAGCAGGCGAAAATATTTCGTTATCAGTTGTTAAACTATCGCTTCCACACCGGAGGAGAAGTGCCAGAGGAGGTCCTTGTATCTTGTTTCTGTACCTCACAGCAAAACAATTTATAAAGGAAACTGCTGTTTGTGTAATCTCAGCTGAGATTGTAGTGATGAAGAAAGTGCAGTCTAATTTTGTTTAATATCCCTTTGTTTTAGTCTGTACCCAGAGGACCTTGTGCCCTTCAGTAGGAAGCCACTGATGATAATAGTGGATAGCTCAAACAGTCATGCTTTTAAGGTGAGTTTTACTTATCTTTTCATTATCTTCCGTTACTGGTTGGGAGAACTTGGTCTAGGAATAATGATTATTTTGTATCGTTTGGCTATATCAAAACCACGCTAAAAACGCAAAATAAGTAAGCGTCGGGGCGTGAAATGCGAGCCGCGAGTAGCGCGCGCGTCGGAAGACGAGTTACGCTACTTGCGACTCTCGTCTCTGCATGTTACGCTCGCACGCTCGCAACCGCTCGCTTGTGTTGCTTTCTTCTTTGCGTTCTTCCCCACGGATTTTCGAGCAAAAAAGAGACTGCTCACAGTCTATTTCGCGCCATGTTACTGCCACTTTCAAAATAAAAAAAAGTCCTTAGTTCTGGTCCGCTACTGTGATCACTTTTTTGTCATCAAAAACTTCTTCATTTTTCTTTCCAGTACTTTCCAAGTTTGTTTGGGCAACCGCTAATCTGTTTGATGTCACCTGTCACTGTTCCTACCACCATGCAAGGTAAATAAAATTGTTATGCCACTCAACCACTCTAAGTATCATGCAATGCTCCTTACTGGAAAAAAGGGGACAAAATAGCTGCTACCATAAGGGTTAGACTTTTCTTTAAATCAATTATTGCCTCGTTGAAAGGTACTGCTCAATAGCTTTCATTTAAATAGTCACACACTGGCGTTTAATCCCAGACTTTTATTTGAATGGTCACACTGTAGGTTTTTAGCTGATCGCGTTGCGTGCTTTTGGTGACTGTTCTTCTAGCTGAGGG